CACCCACACACCACCCCACCCCCCCACCCCCCAAAAAAAACACACACACACACACACAACACCCACCCCTCCCCCCACCCAGCAACAAAAAAAAATCAATAAGGCAAGTGAAGGCTATCTCCGCCTGCTCGATCTTCGTGGCAAAAGGGTTTTCTGCCAATCCAAGCTTTTGTTGCTTGTCCTTGCCAACCTGCAACGGACAGCACCACAGCATCTGAACAGCTCTTCTGGACTGACAACAGAGTCGAAGCAGAATTGTGTAGATTAATCAGAGCTGCTTTTGTAGTCTTAACCACTGAGACCATCTCCCTTCCTCTCTGTTGCTGCCTTCAGGATATTCTCCAGGGCCTCCAAAGCCACGCCTGATACGCTCGAAAAGGAAGCTGGATATGTCTTGCTGGCTGAACTCAGAATCCCTTCAAGCCCCAAGCCGATGATCTTAGCATCTGAGACAACCAGAAGATCCACCTGAGGAGTGGCTAAGCTCTCGCTGCCTTCGATCAGTGCTCAGACTAAGTGTACACACGAAGCTTAGCGAAGCTTGAGACCTCTTATTTCCCGTATGCTGGTCACCTCCATCTTCGTGTCTGAACAGCTTGGCTGCACTGATTTGATTTGCTGCGAGGCTTGAGTGATCTTCTGCGCCTGCCTGGGAATTGCCGCAATCGCGTGAGGAGGCTGACAAGAGAAGTTTGTGATGCTTTGGTTGGTCCACTGAGCTTCATCATGAACTCCGGCGCGTCCACTCCACCCAGCAACCAGGCAGAACATTCGACCCAAAACGAAAACATGCACATTGCAACGAAACACTCGGAGCTGCTTGCTTTGCACAATCAAGCTTAAGCCCAGCAGGGACATTGATTTCGTACCTAGGCACAGCTTGAGTAATCTCTGCGACTGGGTGCACTGCCAGCGGCTTGATACACTGCATCTCCACCAGGTATTCCACCTAAGGTCAAGCTGCTGCTTGCAGCGCGGCGGAGCAACTCCGCGGATCGAAGGAAGGCCAGTGGGCCTGTTGCGGAGATCCACCAGAAGTTGCATTGCTGATTGCCCACGCGGCCTCAGGGAAGAGGAACCAGCAGTTCCTACTGGTAGGCTTATTCTAAGACAGACCTCTTTCTTGATGTCAAAATCTGCCGTCTGCAATAAGTGGATGACCTCACTCTTCAGTTTCACTTGATGCAGCATAGGTGTGGGGTAGCAGTGATGCATTGATTGCGCTGCAGCGGGCTTCATGGTTTAGAAGCCCAGGAGCCGGAGGAAGCAGACCGTTGTTAATGACCTCTGCAACCAGCATCGAATGAAAGCAGCATGCCTTTGTACCAACTGCTTAAATGGTAGTTTCCCAAAATAGGGGATCCCAATATAGACCCCCAAAAACCCAAATGGTACCCCTAATTTTGGGAAACCAACAAATCTGAGCAAAACCAAGTTGACATTGAGGAATTGGATGCTTGAGTACGATTTTGGAACAGAGGACCCGTTGGGGCAGCAGGTTCATGGCGACCCATTGCAAGTCGTCGTTTGCCAAGAGAAGTCGGAAAGGCTGGTTGATGCAAGATTTTTCCCAAACCCTGATTTGAGGGAGATAGTAAAAACCAGGCTACGTAGGCAAACTACACATGTCCGCGAAAGTCAAGATTGCGCCCTGCAGGCCAACACAAAGGATACGCAACCACTCTTGCAGCTTCACTTCCATAATAGCCCCGAAGCACCCAAAAAAAAGCTGCTCGCTTTCTCTTAACAAAATATGGGTGGCTGCTAGGCAAAACTCCGGTGTTTTTGCTTCACCTGCCTGGCAGCTTCTCCAAAAAAGGCCCCTTTTCAAAGACTCATGTCAATTTGTAATGGACGAGTTATTCTCGGGCCCGCCAGGCCAGGCTATGCCCGGCATGGATCCTATCTGTAGCTCAAGAGAGTACTCCAGGCATAGAAACGTGATTCAGTGACCGAGTGGGTCACCGGAACCTTGCCTTGTGCGCTATTGTGCGCGTAGTAGAGCTGGGAGAAAATGATGCTGACGCAAGTGGAACACCTCCTGGACCTTAAGACCTGCCTTCCGCCGGCCATAGTGAGCTGTTTTGAAACATATAATCTGATCAACAGCGTTGATGCCAACCGGACAAGCTATGGAAAACTCCTGGCAGAGGCACATTTTGAAGATGTCAAACGGCTATCCATCATTGGGCATCTGTCTCTCAAAGCCAGGCCATCACGCCCCGCACACACGGGGCGAGGTTTCCAAACTCCTATGCATGTTTGCATCCTCTGCGTGGTTTTAGCTGCCTTCAATGTGGGCCATTTCATATAAAGCGCAATTTGGATGAGGTCGTGCGAGGCCGTTACGAGTATCATTCTGCCACAGAGCCCTGTTTGGTTTTGTCACTGTCTTGCAGTCTTGTAAAGCAACGGACTTCTCGTCAGCTTGAAACCAGGCTTCACAGGCCATCATGAGCTTGTTAAGACTGTTAAGACTTCTGGACTCAGGCATATGCAGCATGAGTAAAAGTGGGCATTCGGCGACACATTCGGCCTTGCTGATGGGTGCGCCGCTGCTACAGCTACAGCTACAGCAGAAAAATGCTGCTACGCAGTGCAAACGTGGAATGTGAAATGGAAGAGTTTGAGGCCTCCTGGATCTGCTCCCGGTTTCCGGCTGTGATGTTCGAGATGGTCCAGCAGCTCTCCTTGCGGATGGCCTGCTTGCTGGTCACATGGGTCTTTTCAAAAAGCGCCTTCTGCTCTGCACCTTTTTTGCATGAGAAAGGAGCTTGAGGAGCGATGGCAGAGCACCGCTCTGCAGGATCACCTTCACCCGCTGCACATCACTGCCACTGCGCTCAAGGCTCTGTCTCTCTCTCTCTCCGGCTCGCTTTCAGCACCCGTGTCTTTTCACGGAGCAGCCATTCTGGGCCTGTGTCTGATTATCATCGCCCGTGACAATGTTGCCCACAGCCCGCAGAGCAGGTGTCTGCACCAGCGGGGACGTGTGCAGCCTCAGCTGGCTCAGCAGTCTCTGGCACAGGACAACAGAAACAACGACTTGCAAAATGTTGCAAATGTCTCCAAGCAGCAGCAGTTCCACCAGTCGGCGGCAGACCCCAGCCTGCAAAAGCCACTTTCACACATGCCAAGGACTGTCAGTCGCTCTCCTGGATGACGGCTGTAATGCGCTCGTTGGGACCATCTGATAGGTATGACAGTGCCCAGCAAGCATCGGTCAGAACCTGCAAGGCCAAGTGAGGTCCAGAAATCTAGGCTTTGAATCTTGCTGCCCTGCCCACCTCGCAGTCGCAAGAGTAGATCAGGTTTGCTAGGGTTCCAAGTGCTGGCGACACCTGAGGTAGAGTTCTTAGAGTCTCAGAGTCTCAGGAGATGGACCCCCAAGGGCCAGACCCACTCAAAGGGAGGCGGAGGCTTCCCACGGCACAGATTGCTGAGGGTCCATGTTGCATTCCGCATCATCGAGGTCTTCTCAGACCTTCTTTCGCGCATTTTTGAGGATCAAGCGCATGCATCTTTCCATATCTTTCAATCCAAGCATCTCTCGGAGTACAGTCATCACTGGGTGAAGGCCTGCAGGGCTCAAGGACCCAAGGCCATGTCCCAGTTGGCAGCTGCGGCCTCCACTCTGCAGCACAAGATCTCTAAAGTTGGGCGAGTCCCCAGCAATGTTCCCCAACGCCTCAACGCGATGTGCTTGCACCAGGCAAGGCGCTGCATGAAATTTCATCTCATCTTAGGGCGATACCCAAACAGCTTGTTCTCGCACATCGTCATTGGGAGACTGCAGCAGCAAGCATTGCACAATCAAAGCCAATCTTACAGGCTTTCCTTATGCCATAACATCTTTTTTTCAGCCACTGTGGCTTGAAAACGTGGCAGCCTGCTTGGCAGGCATACCTAGTCTTGGGAAGGGCATCAGCAACCAGGAGCCGGCCAGTTTCGCAGTCTTCGGATGTCCTCCTTTTCTCATTCTTCCGGCCCCTGTTACGCCTGAAGCCCCAGCAGGCCCAATCCTGGCAACGAGCTGCCAGGGCTTTGAAAATGCAAAATAGCGAACACGAGGACTCTCACGTGAATCGAACGTGAATCGCGCGAATTCCAAAATATTTCCAAAGCACAGATCAGAATTATCAGACTGCGAAACTGCTACAAGCGCAACACTGTACCCGCAGGGCTGGGGTGGGCTAGGTCGTTGGCGTTGGCGTCAGCCCAAACTGAGGATTGTGACCCGCCCGAGCCACGTTCGCCGCGCGCTCCCGGGCTGAAGACTTGAGCTGCTTGAGCTTTCGAGTCAGCGAAGCCCAGCTGGGCTTCCAGCTGGGCTTCGCGGAAGTTCCCCCGCCGGACGCAAAGGAGCTCTTGCTGCCGACGGTGCTCATCCTGCACCTGCTGCCGATGCCTTGGCTTGCGCGATCTTGCGCGCATCCAGGAGTAAAAAATGAAACGACAATTCATTGTAACACTTCGACCAAGAGGCGTGAGGTGTCGTCTGGCCAGCGATGCGAGGCCCTGCGCCTTCTGCGCGAGCCTCAGCTGCGTTACCCCACGCTACCTCCCGCTACCCTACGCCTCTGCATGAAAACTCTTTAACCTGCAAACTTGAGAAGCCTCATCTTCCGTGGAGCTCACGGTATGGACATGCTGCTAAGTTATCAGGTGAGTTTGCTCAGCAAGTTACCTGTGATTTGTTTACAAAGGGTGAAATCCCGGGATCAGCCAGGTCATGGACCGACCGATGTCAGGGAAAAGTGTCAGCCAGAAAGAGACTTATAAAGGAACGAGTTTGGGTGATTGGAGGGAAGCTTCGCGGGGTGGAGTCAAAGTGGTTTAAGGGGAAGTTCACGAAGTGAAAGTGTTGAAGAAGCGTCAGCTGTACGGTGTAAGTTACGGCGATGTTTGTCATCACCAGGTAGCTGTCGGCAGCTTTGAGGAAATTTCATGGCAAGCTGCTGCAGATTGTTGCGGGTGGTCTGAGGAAAAGAGCAAGCAGTGCTCGAATGCTAAGCCAACATTTGACTATGCTACATTCCACGCAGAGTCGTTGACGACGGAAACAAATGAAACAGCAAGCTAGAGCTTGGCCCAACTGGCCCGACTCATTGGGGTTTCGCTTTATAATTGTTGTTCCCGCGCTCCAGCTCAAACTTTTGAAAAAAGCTACCGCTTGCTGCTGATTTGTTATTGTACCTCCGGGGACCGCGCCCGCAGTCGAGGAGATGCTGGATCTGGCGATCGTAAAGCCACTGCATCTCCTGATGTGTCCGTCCGGGGGGCACAATCTGATCTAGGGAATCTAGGGCATCCATGTCCAGCTGAGCACTCTGAAGCAAGCTCCTGCCTGCAGGTGCCTCATGTGAAGCTCTGCCAACTCCTGAGATCTGTCCGCAGCAGACATGGTTCTGGATATGTTTTTCCCGAATGCGTAGCAGAAGGGTTCCCGTTTTAAGGTTGGGGTGCGTTTGCGTTCGCAAGCGTGCGCAATCGTTCGCGGAGGGTGGGACATGCCAGAGAGACGAAAATCGTCGCGAAACGCAGAACTGTCGGCACTTTTTACGTTTCGTATTACAAAAGTGTCAACAGTCACAGGGATCGGGGGGGTCCTTGTCGCGAAACGCAGAACTGTCGTCACTTTTGGACTCGTCTCGGGTCTTCGCGTCTCAAAAGTGTCAACTGTCACAGGGATCGGGGGGGTCCTTGTCGCGAAACGCAGAACTGTCGTCACTTTTGG